AAATCTATACCATATCTAAAAACTTACTGAAAAATGATTTATTCATAGTAAAAATATAAGCTCGATGCATTTTTACGTTGCTTTCCTGCTGCTGCAGAGGGTTTTTAAATCGTCTTATCTTCAAAACCGGCCATTTCTTAGCATATTGCTGCTGTTTTTTGTCGCTAGAAAATTAGTTGGGCTTTCCATTGACATCAACGGTTGAGCGGTATGTGTAGAGTGCCATCAATAATCTTCAAATGAAATAAGTCATTTTTAAGTTGCAAAGGAATGGAGTACCCCTTGCGAGCATCAGGGGTGACGTCACTCAGGATCTGTCTCTGATTGGTCGACGGCGGAGTGACTGTACCTTCTATAGATGGCCTTGGGTGAGACAAGCTTGGTTAGATTCGCCAGCTGATCGCTTAACAACACCTTCTGATACTGGAGTTAAGTTTCAGTGAACAACAATCTTTAAAAAGACATTTATCATTTCCTCGACAAACCTAACTTTCTTAGGATCCCAGTCTCTCTTAGGAGCTTAGGATCCCAAATTTGCGGTAGCGTTAGTGCGTTAGCGGCTTGCGGTGCGGGCGTTTCAGTTTTGTGGCGTTTGCGGTGGCGTTGTTTGCGGAATGCGGATGGCGGCGGGCGTGCGTTTTTTTTTGGCGTTTGCAGTTGTGTTTATTGGCGATCTTTTTTTTTAATCTACCGTCCGTGGCATAGACGAGCACTTCCAGAGCGCATGCACATTCACATAGTAGGTACGCATCTACATAGTACAAAACAAGCATTGTTATGCGAATGCCACCCTAGTTTAAGGTTGGCTTTAAGGGGTATTATTCTCAGCTACATCTTGTTCCTCCGAGATAGTATAAAATAAGGAAGATAGAATCACAGCAACAAACGTCATACCACAGTGTCGATTAGCATGGCATCCTCCATGCAGCGGAGAGCAAACATTACCATCAGTCACCGGCGGCGCGCCGAAAACGCCGCGCCCGCGCCGGGTTCGCTCCGTTGTTTGGAGAGCGGCAATTCTGGCGCGCCGCCGCGCCGGATGTGCCGCTCGGCGCCGATGGCGGACCTTTGTCATTTTTATGGGAGGCGCCATAAATGTATTGCTCCATATTGCAGATAACCAGAACAGATGTCTGACATCAACAAAATAAGCTTATTTTATCTGGGCAATAAAGCTTAATTTATGGCTCTCCGGAGGGGCAATTTGATCCTTATGAAGAGCATCAAAAATTTGACTTGTCTGCCGGGGAATATAAATGGTGCGAGTTAGGGAGGGCCCGGCAGTGTAATCACCACTGCGCTGAAATTGCAGCACTGCAATGCGCCACTGCCGCCGCCGCCGCTGAAATATGGCAGCACCGGCCGGCTGCCAGCCGTGACATATGGCAGCGCAGAACGCCACCGTTGCACGCGCTCGGTGAAACGGCGCTACGTGAGGCGTTAATAGCGGGGCAATGGGGCCGCTGGCACTGCCTAATTAATTATGGTGAGTGCCGGTAGTTAATTTGACGGTCTGTGGCCGTGCAGATTTCCGTAACCAATTGCGTGTTTAAAGTGTCTATTTAAACTCATATTGGAAACTTCACGAACCGCTTACGGTGTTCAAAAATGCATGCGTGAAACCATATGCAGTGTGAAAAGTAGAATATACAAGAAGAATATGTGCGGTGCATTGTTCCTCGACAGATACCACATATAATTTACATATTACGTACTGGCATGCCAACGTAGCGACACTGTCCATATCCATCGAGCATGACATGGGAAGTGCTACATCTATCTAAACCTAAGAGATTAAATCAATGTGTTCCGTGTACGATGAAGCTTCGAAGTACATATTTGTGTCCAGCGCATTTAAAAGTAAGCATTTCACACTGTGATTGTGTTGTGTCTAAATGCACATGTTTGCATTCATCTGACATGTGGCTGAATAGATATGGACCATAAATGATTTGCCCCAAAGCGCAAGGCCTTTCATGCAATTTTATACTTAATCATACTATATTCTATATTTCAATCTATATTCTATCTATCAATCTATATTCTATAAACGATTTCAAAACACTTGTAGAATCAGCCTATGTAGTAACATTCTGCCACGTCAATAATACACATTATGCACAGTGTTGAATTGGAAACAATACTTTTCACCGTTGACAAATTATAAATGAGTGCTTGACCTGCTTCAGAAAGAGCGCAAGCGCCCTCTCCTAAAAAATGAGGGCACATGCTACCAGAATCGCACGCTTCACAGCGAACACGTTTCTTCCATCGCGCGTCGCAGCCCCAGGCGATGCAGCACACTGAATATAAAACTCAACTGACCACAAATTCCGCCCGACTTCATTTCGATGGACAGCTCGTGCATTAATGACTGGCGGCTACTTTGACAGCCGGAGGTGACAAGTCGGCGTGTCAGGTGGCATCCATGTCGCCATTAGTCTCAGCATGTCGAGCAAACTTATACAATGACAGGTGACATGTGCCGCATAATGTCGACATGTGAACCTGACGTGTCATAAATAATGCCAGGTATGACACGCTACGCGCTGTGCATAACTTAGAGATGTGTTTGAGATGCTGTGACCGGTACAGCTGTCACGATTTAGTGCAGTGGAGAACCTGCTGGGGCATTGCTGGCAATGCGGCTTCGTGCATATCAGAATGACGTGAGGTTGCCATTTTCGTAGACACATGTTGAGTTATGTTTGAATTAAAATACACATGTCACACAGCAGATGATTCAAACATGAACTGGCGCATGAAATGATTATTTGCCGACATGACTAGTTATCAGTTTCAGATGACCACGATTCCGGTCCCTAAGTCCTGCAGAAGCAGCTGTGTGCTGAACATTATGCATACTCTTGCTAAATACGAGAAAGTCAATTTTCCATATAATTTCGAGAGCTGGCCGGTGTTCTTCCGCGTAAGTAAGTGAAAAAAGGCATCAACAATGAATTGGGACTCTAAATAATGCCTGATAATAAATAATGGTGATACGCCAATCGCTCTCTTAGCCAGAGATTTAGGGTCTTGGCCAGAGAGAGCATCTGCATATCGAAGCCGTCCCACTAGATCAACACGAGACAGGCTGTCTCATGAGTCGCTCAACACAAAGAGCATAGGCAACCCAATCGACTTAGTCCGTCTGTCGAATTTGTCCAAGACTTCACTCCAGGCACACATTCTGTCGCCGATAAATTTTCACTCTGTCGAGATCGGCAAATAAACTGTCCGCTCCCCGGGGCTCCGTCAACAAATGGCTCTCTGTTCAGCGCCGACAAACGCGAGCAGCGCGACAACCAATCAGCGCCCAGGGAACGCTGGATGCATCGTTAAGCTAGCGTGTTCGTTAACGTTTCAATACAGGGTTGTTGGGGGAATAGAACAAAGAGGGCGAAGACCTGCTTCCTGGTCGTCCGATGTACTCGCAACTATGTATGTAGGCATGTGTGTGGCCGAAGAGGATCAAAATATCGAAGGGAACACGCTGAGGATATTGTTACGAGCGAGCGAGCGCAGCGAGCGAAGCGAAGTCTTTTCAATATAACGGGAAAATCTCAGTATGAGCGGCCCGGCCCGGCCCGGCCCGGCCTGTAACGCTTTTGAGAGGCTTATATCTCAGCAACCGCTGGACCGAATGGCCTGCGGTCTTTTTTTTTTTTTTTGCTGCAGGTAGCCCCATCCCTTCTACCCCGTAATTGACTACTTTTGATACATCTCAGTGACCGTCGTGGCACGTGCCACGCACGGTATATAGAGTACTAGGTAAAACCGGTTCGAAATTACAACACTAAGGTATTTTGACCACTATTTTCAGCTGACCCTTAAAGTCTAAAAAAGAGAACTAAGCAACAAATTTCAATGAGTTTCATTATTTGTATATATATTTTTGATTTATGATCAGAGACCACGCCATGTATGAATCTGTGAAGCATTAACGAAAATAAATTGTTGGCTATCTCCGCCATTTCAAAAATTATATATCTTAAGTTGCAAGGATTGTTCATGGACAAAATTAATTTTTCACAATCAAAATTTAAAATTGAAGGACAAAAAGTAATATCAAAGGCCAACTCCCTTTTGTTGAATTTCGAAATTACCATGGTTCTGAGCTGTTCAGCCTACCGGACCTGCCAATGCTCTACCATGGATTGTCGAGTAACTTCAGTGATGTGGGGCTTACAACATGGTCAAAAAATATCAAAATTGAATTATCTATCAGATTCTGTGCCTTTTGTTGCCTTTTAAAGGTTGGAAACTGTGTTTAGTTGATGTTCAATACATGACCACCATTGCTGTCCATGGTCACCCTGTTCCACTATATGTAATGATTCTCAAAAACTAAATCGATGTGGGGTCTAAATATTTCACTGAAATTAACAGCATCGCTTACATTATAACATATTAAAATGTCAAAACGTAAGAAACGCGGGAACTTTAAAAGATTTACGTCTAATTCTAAAACTTCGAATTTTGAATACAAAACAGTTCTGGACGAAAACATAGCTAGATGGCGAACTAGTCATTGTTGGGCTCACAAAGACCCTTTATTGAAATAAGAATTCAATTTTCTTTCAAAATATGTATGATTTATTGCAGTTTAAGAATCAAAAGATGCATTATTTTGGTCTGGTATGCGTTGGCTTCCTTGCCGCCTAAGGTCACACGGTGAGAGTTAATGGCATATTAATAGAAAACAAGACCGATGTGGGGTCTATTTAAAGCATGATAGTAAACAAAATTGAATTTTGTATCTATTGGTATAGGTTTTTAAACAAAATAAACGCGGGAACTTTACGAAACGTGGTATTGAAAACTGCCGACCATAATTATCACCCGCAGTTGCGCGCAGTTTTCTGTACTGCTATCGCTAGCAAACGCCAGCTTTTGTATTTGATTGGTTCAACGGCGTTTCTTTTACTGATTGAGAACACTTTTAAGTTTCAAGCTATTCAGCATGGCTTTGGATTCAACTCGAGGCGCTCGTATATAAACATTTTCAAATTTAATGAATTTTCTTGTTGGATTTGTTTTTGATAGGCCACGGAACAGGAAACGGATTTTGAAATGTATTTTTATTGTGAGTTTATCTGTGCCGGGTGGGGTGGATTTGTGTCAAGTTTCTTTTCTGTGGTTAGTTGAGATACAAATCAAAATAGTTTTTTATATTGATTTGCCATCGGGATTATTAGGTAGGTACCTATCCTACGAAGTATGTAGTCTACCTGAAGTCAAGTCTATATAAACCCCTCACCCAGATTCATTTTGGTCCTCTGCTCTCTTGTTTCCATGATCTGATCTTCTCTTCTGCGTCTCAATCTCCTGCTTCAGGTTGAGACCCTGCTGTGGTTGGCCATTTCGAGTTGTGCTTTTGGAGCTTGCAGCAATGCGTGTTGCAAGTAACTCACCAGAAAAGATGATGCTCTGAGAATTAATAAACAAAAGTCCACAAAGTCCTGTAATTGACAAGTTACATGGATAAGTTTGAGTTATTATATCATTATAAAAGTCTTGCAATGTGTGTAGCGATCATGAAATACATGCCCTCCGCGGGCTTTGTCCACCTCTCCCAAACATCCACCCTGCTAAGGGTTGGACTGGACAGACAACTGTCCGATGGGGGAAGCCTGGAGGCTGGAGGTTCCCCCAGGGTCCAATCTTATAAAATGTCTTACTATTCTATTCACGGCATTTGGTAACATTTATGGTGATGTCAGTGCTGTCAGTGCTGAGTCTGGGTGACTGAGTCTTGACAACTCACCTCAACCTTGGTGTCTGCCCAGACCAATGTTACCTCATAATGTCTCCAGGTCTCCACTGCTCTCCTTGCCTGTTTCAGCTGTCTACCCCTGCACGCCTGATTCCTGACTCCCTCTCTCATTCGCTTTACCCAGGTTTTGCCAATGTTCTGACTTGAGTGTGCGGTTGCTGCTTTTTGGTGCGCACACACCCCAGACTCTCCATCCAATTAACGCCTGAACAGTTGCTGAAAGTGCCTCCCACCAGACTTGCTGAATGGCTACTACTTGCATATGCTATCTGGACTGAAGCTTCCCCAACTAGCTGCCATGGCTCTCGGCAGCTGGGCTGAATAGGTCACAGGCCAAAGTTCATTTGGGTCAGGTTCATAAAATGTCAAGGACATGTGTAAAATTGATCAACTGGAGGGTACTGAAAGTTTCGTCGCAATCGGCGTCTTTTTTATGCGAGTTATGAGTTATCCGCGAGAAACCGAGGAGGGGTCCGTTCGACCCCCCCCCCCCCATACGGGCGAGGGTTAGGCCACATTCGGAAAGTCAAGCTACATCTAGCTAGGCACATCAGCCTATCACGGGCATTTGACTAGTAAAATATAGACATTTGCAGCCTTTTTTGACGTTGAATAAGCTGATTTAGTTATAGGTCGTCAATCGTCATTATATGCCTGCCGCCGCTTTTGTCGTCTTCATTGTGTGCTTTGTGGTTTTTTAGTTTTGATCATATCATCCTCCATCAGGCTTGTTTCTGGCGGTGGTTCTGGAGACAGCGTGTCGATCCAGCTGTAGAACGTCATCCGGAGGTGGCAGAGTGTGATGGCCAGCCACGCGGCGCGCGTATCGACATTGACCAGAAACTATCACATCATCTCCAGGTCAGTACCTAATTGTGTGAACCAACGCGTCCACAGGTCAGCTGTGTCCCTTTTCGTCACTAGATCAGCGACGTGATGGCAATTCTGTGACCCGTCACCCACCGCGTCCTTAGGTGGGTGGCTCGGGAGAACTTTTTGTGTTGCCGGGATGGGATGTCTGCTAATGCAGGTGCCGCTGCAACTTAGTGTCGTGACGTATGATGGGTCTCAGGTTCGGGTTTCGATTTCTCGAGTGAGAAATGTGTGTACAGGCTTATATACTGTTATTATAGCTGAGTGTGCGTCAGGAAACGTTATGAGCTATGAGTCGTGGTCGCCGTGGCTCATAGTGGTATTTGACGACCGTCGTGACCTGTGACGGTCACCGTGACTGCTATGTGATGGTCGCCGCGGCTGGCATATGACGGCCGCCGTGACTTCTATAACGGCCTTCGTGACTGAAACGTGACGGTCGTCTTGACATGCCGCGACTCGCTGCTTTACAGGTCACTGGTCGAGGGCGCTCGAGCTGACGGTGTCTTCCGACGGCTCCACGGTGACCAGCGCCGCCACCGCCGAGACCATCCGACTCCTGAAATGCTAACGGCCTTGCACGAAGCTCTAAGCATCCAGGTGCAAGGCAAGCGCCATGCTCAGAGGTGTCATCCGAAGAAGGCCGCACAGTGCACTTTAGGGTGAGCTCGGGTGTAGTGCGCGCCGACGGATAGGATGAAATGACGGGCCGGCCATCAGATTTCAGTGCGGGGATCAAGATGGTCGGAGCCGATGTGGCTCGGTTGATGGTGTGGCAGGGTTGATTGAGAGTGAAAGCGAGACACCCGGATCTGTAAAGAATACGCCGATACGGGTCTCGAACGTCGTCTCGCAATTTGTGCTCTGTAATATGACGGCTATGCCGTGGTATCATTCACTCTCGGTGCGCTAATAAATAATAAATAGGACAGAGGCTGGAATTAAGATATTATATTTGGATGTAAGGGGCAGGTTTGGGCCAGCGCTATTTTAGAAATCGTGAGCGTGCTAGTTGCAATCAATCGCGCGCTTCTTGTTGAGCATCTGTGAGCGAGAAAATACTTTCTTTGGAACTTAGCAGTTCGTGGTGAAATATTTGTATCTTTGGAGTAAGTTGTCAGAACATGAATGCATTGTTGGTGTCCACTGCAGCTGCTGTTCTGGAACAGAAACATGCCGAGATCGGCTGTGTATGTTGTGGCAAAATCAAGCAGTCCGTACCATGAATCAAAAGCGATATGTGAATTAAAGTGAATATTTTCACTATTTTCAGTTTATCATACAGATCACAGAAATGCGTCAATACTGATC